TATAGAGCAGCCGGATGCAAGCGTCTCCCCAAACTGTGGTGAATGCTGTTGGCCTTGAAAAGGATCCCAAGGAAAAACTCAGCCACGTTTATGCATCACTTTTAGTCTCATCGTTGGTTGTTAATGCACCGTGTGATGCTGGAACACGCTTGGCACAATGAGAAAGAGAAGCTTACATTTACAGGGTGAATATAGCCGTGTAAAAGCTTGAAGTCAAGGGTCATCTTGGTTGGTGGAATGTCCCTTCTAGAATGTAATGGTTCGGGGTGGATGGAATGTGCCCAGGTTCAGACTGCTGCTTTTTTAAATCCTTCATCTGTTGTTTGCTCCTCCTTTGTTTTGCCTGAAATAGAAATGCTGTATATAAAATAGAATCCACAGGCGTAAGGCTTGTGTGTTTTCAGGTATACCGATCGCATGTCCTGGCAGATTGAAATTGCAGTCTGCAATGAGCTTTGAATTGTCAGACAGCTCTTTACCTTTTGTATAGTCAGGCTGTTACCCCCTTCAGGAACTCCATGCGCAGATACGTGAGCAGTGACCCGGTTGCCAGGATGGCAACTTTACCTGGCTGTGTGTTCCCTCTAAGCTGAGTTAGTGTGAGCTAGCTCATGGTTTTTTAGCCTCTGGCTCACACATTTTTGTCTTAGCTCAGGAAGGATGGCTCCAGAGCAAACTAATTTATGCAGCAGCCAAATTGCATGCTCACAGCTTTAATGCCAGTAGCTCACAAAGTAGAATTTTTGCTCACAAGACTCCGCAGCTTAGAGGGGAGCATTGGCTGTGAGACTCTTGTTGAGCGATTTCACCCCCATGACTAAACTGATGATGGTGGAAAGAACTGAAATGAACAGCAGGAGGAATGCTTTGAACGTATACCAGTGCTATGGCTTCAGACAAAAACCAGTGTGGTGTCAGGCTTGCAGTCTAAGAGGTCCATGTTCAGATCTTTGCTCTGCCATGAAAGCTCATTAGAGAAGAAGAGGAGATTGGATTTATACCCTGCCCTTCACTACCCAAAGGAGTCTCAGAGCAGCTTACAGTCTCCTTCCCCTTCCCCTCCCCACAACAGACACCCTGTCAGGTAGGTGGGGCTCAGAGAGCTCTGACAGAAACTGCTCTTTTTCAAGAACAGCTGTGCCAGAGCTTGTGACTGACCCAAGGTCACATCAGCAGGTGCAAGTGGAGGAGTGGGGAATCAAACCCGGTTCTCCCAGATTAGAGTCCGCGCACTTAACCACTACACCAAACTTGTATGGCCTTTGACCACTCACTCTTTTTCAGTCTAGCCTATTTGGCAAGCTTGTTGAAATAATAAAATGAAGGGAGAACCATGTCTGTTGCACTTAGCTTTTTGGAAGACAGGGGAAATGAAATAGGCAGGAGACCGGATGCCAGATCATCATACTACTGTTTCTTAAAGGGGGACAACAACTTGGCGACAACTTGTGTTCTTTAATCATTGAGCAGGCTTTGTTTGAGTTGAGTGTTCAGGTTTACGGGGGGGGGGGGTGTTTACAGCCACTCTGTTTTTCAGTCTAGGATTTCTTTGCCTTCCTTTTGGATGTAGTTGGGTGCAGTGTTCCCTCTAAACTGAGTGAGTGTGAGCCAGCTCACAGTTTTTTAGCCTCCAGCTCACACATTCTTGTCTTAGCTGAGGAAGGAGGTCTCCAGAGCAGACTAATTTATGCAGTGGCCAAATCGCTCGCTCACAACTTTTATGCAGTAGCTCACAAAGCAGAATTTTTGTTCACAAGACTCCACAGCTTAGAGGGAACATTGGTTGGTTGGATAATTCCTGGGAGGATGACTGTCCATGGATACTACTTCACATCAGTAGCTCCAAAGAGAGGGCCGGACTTCCGCTTTCCTTTTTCTGTGGGAACGACTGTGCTTTTAGTTATCAAGGATTGTGAGCAAGGTTGTGTTGCCTACCTACCTGCTAGTATATCTGTGAATTTATCATTTTTTAAAAATCCATTACCCTCAAAAGAATTCTACCTGCCTACCCCTCTGGTTGAGGCAATAATGTGAGTTGCCCAACATTGTGAAGGGGCAGAGTCTGGCAGCTGGCCATGCCAGGAGGTTATAGGTAAAAAGGCCCTGATGCATGCTAGAAGACTAGGGATATTCAAATAAATAGCCGAGACATGTTTAAATCTATCGTGCACTTGTTTCCCCAGGCCACAAATGGTTTTGGATCAGCATTTGCCATTCATGTACTGAAAGCTCTCTTTCTCTGAGCTTGAAATGCAGTATTGTCAGGGCTGAATATCCCAGAATGCAGTGCCGTGCTCTTTAGCCGGCACTGTAAAATTATGTCGCTTTGAGGATTCGTGGGGTTTGCTAATGGTGACAGTCTTCCCAGGAGCCTGTCCCTAGTGACCAAGCAAACGCAAAGAGCATCTCTTGTGCTCAGCTGTGGAGCAAGTGAGTCATGTGAGTGCAGCCCCAAAGCTGACCAATGAAAGCTTTTCTTTATCCTGGATCCAAGGTGCCCCAAGTTGGAAATGTACTGTCTAATTGTTCCAGACAAGCACCTGTTGATAAGTAAGGAGTTTGATAAATATATATGAAGTTAGAGAAGCTAGAAATGAGAGCTGTTCAGAGAGATGCCCTGGGCCCCACAACACAAAAGAAGTTACAGTCAGCATTGCCCAGTGTGCTAGCTTTCATTTTTTGTAAAGGCGCTCCAGGACAATAAATCTCTCAGTTTCACTTTATGGTTGTCTCCATTTTCTCCCCTCAAGATTTCAAATTTAAAGCCGTATTCAGATAAGTGTGGACATGGTTTGTTTGGGTACTTGCAGAGGTCATTTCGGGGGAATCGCGGGGGATCGCAGTTCCCCCGGGTGAGGTACGGGGGGCAGGGCAGATGCCGAAGCCCCGCCCCCTGCTTCCGTCCGCCCCGCTTCCGGCCCTCATTCAGCCAGGAGGAGGCAGAAGAGGGAGGGTAAGTTGCTTCCTCCCTGCCTCTCCCCACCCCTGCCTGCCTGCCTGGGGCCAGGGAGGCCCTTCGCGGGGCTTCCTTGCACTCCCGCCGGCCTTGCAGGTCCACCGCCAGGCCCCTCATGGGGCTCGGCAGTGGACTTGCAAGGCCGGCGGTGGCGGCTGGGACCGTTGGGGGCGGGGTGTGTGGCCTTATGACACACTTCCGGTGATGTCAGGGGGTGTGGCCTTATGACACACTTTCGGTGATGCCAGGGGGTGTGGCCTTATGACACACTTCCGGTGATGCCAGGGGGTGTGGCCTTATGACACACTTACAGTGATGTCAGGGGGTGTGGCATATGCTAATGAGTTATGCTAATGAGTCCCCCTAGCTCTTTTTCTATGAAACGACCCCTGGGTACTTGTATCCACCAATTTGCCTTCCCTTTACACAGAGCCATGAGTGAAGAATTTGCGGTTTAGGGAGCCTTCTAATTCCCAGTTTTCTGTGCCTTCTAAATCTGGGCACTGAAACAGAATTTGAGGGGAGTTTTCTCTTCTACATCAATCAGGAGTCTAAATCACCATTTAATCCTGGGTTTGAATTCCAGTTACTGGGTAATAAACAACCTCCAGTTTAATGAGACATTCACATTCTGACATTGCGACATGTTGGAGTTGGAGAGTTACCTATACCAGGAAGTCACCTGTCTCTGTGTTAGTGCTAAAGAGGACTATGTGAAGCCTGAAAATGGGGTTCATGCTTCCTGGAGTCTTGTATGACAATTCAGCACATACTATTTTATATATCAAATAGATTTAAAAAATGATGAAAAATTGCAAATATGTGTACAGGTATAGCAAAAAATGTCTGTAGCAGAACTCTTGTAGCTAATGGGTTTACAACATCTTCATAAGGTATGTGTGTTTTTATAAGTTAGAACTATAGTCTTAATCTGTTGAGAAACCAGTTTTCTCTTATTACATCCTTTTTATGATTATCAATGTAATGTTTTAAAACAAATATTAAAGTACAAACAGAAAAGGAAAACTAACAAAATACATTGGTATTTGGTGCAAAGCATAACAATTATATACCTTTGCTGCCAAAACTTAAAGGGCTTCAGACCTATTAGAAATGTTGGGTTTTGCTGTCTCCTATATTTGTTGTTCCCCCTGTCTGAACCTAAGTAGTTTAGCTGCTTGCCCTGCTTTAGTTTTCCATCTTTGAATATTCAAACTTTCAGCAGCTTTCCCGTTCCTTGCTATTAATGTTTTGTAGCTATAATAACTACACTTCCTTAGTTCCATTACTGCAGAGTCCTGAATAAGACTGAATAAAATAGCATTTGGGCTTTTTTAGAATGCTGTAATACTACCTGTTCTTCATATGCCCCCACATGGTGAACAGAGACATATCCATGGAACTAGACAATTCATGCTTGTGATCAGTTTACCTTGTGTGTTAATAAGGACATGCAGCTAACTTTAGGGGAAGAGTACTGAGGTTTCATGTTGATGTTTCCTCGAAACAACACTGCTTTTTGTCCAGTCACTAGTACAGCTAGTGTATCTGAGGAAGAAAGGCTTGGCTTTTCTGTGCCTCGCCAGCAGATATTCAGCCCTCTGCCAGAGCAGCTGAAAGGTCCATGGCTTGGATTGCCGTATTCACCTCGGTGTGAGTGTGGCTCCCTCCACCTAACAATCAGACTGCCAACTGGTTTTTTAAAACCAATTCTCTCCCCCCCCCCCCCCTTCTCTCCCTATCCCACTTGCCTGGCAGGATGCGTGTGAGCGCAGTTTGGCAGAGATGGAGGCTTCCCACCGACAGGTCATGATGGAACTGCAGCGGCACCACCAGCGGGAGATGGAGCGGCTTCACCTCGAGAAGGAGCGGCTTTTGGCCGAGGAGGCGGCTGCCACAGCTGCAGGTAGAAACTGCTGACTGACTGGGCTTCAGCTCAATACCGGCCTTCGGAAGACTCTCCTGTCTGCTTTGGCTGGAGAATCTTGCCAGCATCACAAAATATAACTTTACAGAGTGAAGAACAGGAGCAGCTGATATCTGGTGGACCAAATTTCTCAACCTGTGATTCTCCCAGTAATAGAAGTCATTTTAAAAAAAATCCAGTTATTTCACCACATATCCCAGATCAAGTTTCTCTTCTGTCCCTCCCCCCCCCTTCCTGCTTTGCCGTAGCAATTGAAGCACTGAAGAAGGCACACAGAGAGGAACTGAACAGAGAACTGGGTAGAACACGCAGCTTCCAGAAAGGTGGCTTAGATTCAGACGCTCTCCGGCGACAACATGAGTAAGCAACACTTCCGCAGTGACAACTTGTCCCCTCTCCAAACTTTAGAGTATGAACAGTGGTGGGAATGACCACAGAATTGCTGAAAAGCAAGGGTGGGATTTTGAGACCGTGATGAGCAAGTGTGTGGCCATCTTAAGCTGAAAAATGTTATAGAAGAATCAGTTTTATTAGCATTGCTGTGTGTGCAGAGATAGTAAGATGCTATTTTCCCTTTGCGCTGTTCAGCTTAAGGCAGTGCTCCTAAACATGGCACCTGCTAATGAGTTTCCTGGAACCCACTTTCTTCTCCCCAAAACATCTCTTCCTAAAGAAAATAGCTAGTCCTGGATTTCCTCCCATCTCATTATTGAAGGTGTGCCTTCAGGGATCCATTGTAGGTGGATGCTTGGCTTTTCACATCCCAATGTTGTGCAGTTGACCCCAACACCCCATGGCGGTCATTTTGCTGTGTCACCCACTCTGTATTCTCAGAATTCCACAGGGTGAATAAGATTGGCGGGCCCTGACTTAAGCTATCTGGGCATGCAGTAATCAAAGGTTGTGCAGTCCTATCCCTCTCTTCTAGCTATTCCAGTGACAGTGGGAGCTACCCACCAGAATATCCAAACCTACCCCTGTTTTGATTACAGCAGGATTTCTCACTATTCAAGATCTTGGAGTGGAAGAAAATTGTTAACTTTTTATCATGGTACAGAGACCTGGCCAACTCTGTCATCCAGGGATACTGGCTTAGTTTTCAGGACAAGGGGCGAGCATATTAGGAGGATCTTGAGACACCGTGGGTGGGAGCATCTCACCCTAGAGCCTATGAGTGGGGGAATGATGGACAAAAGGCCATGTTTGGACAAGTTCTCTGCAATGGGACCCCCGTGGTGTCAGTGTTCTGACCTCTGCTGCAGGTCTGATGTGGAGTCTCTAAAGCGGGAGCTGCAGGTGCTCTCGGAGCAGTATTCCCAGAAGTGCCTGGAGATCGGGAACCTCATGGCAAAGGCAGAAGAGCAGGAGGAAATACTGCAGCGCTGCCAACAGGAGGGAAAGGAGTTGCTGCGGCACAACCAGGCAAGTGGCTTGTTGCATCCCTGGACTGGGGGAATTGAGGAGGAGATGAGTGGTGCACAGAACAGCGAGGAAGGGATAGTATTTGAGGAAGGGGTGTTGTTGGAAGGCCGCCCAAAAGGTTTTTGGTGATGGAAAGTACCACCAAGTTGCAGCCAACGTATGGTGACCCTATAGGGGTTTCAAGGCAAGAAACGTTCAGAGATTATTTGCAATTGCCTGCCTCTGCATAGCAACCCTGGAGTTCCTTAGTGGTCTTTCATCCAGGTACTAACCAGGGTTAGCCCTGCTTGGCTTCTGAAATCTGGTAAGATCAGGTTAGCCTGGGCCATCCAGGTCAGGTTGAAAAAGTTTTTAGTTTTTCCTAATATTTTTGTGTAATCAGCTGCTGGGGTGTGTGTGGTGGGGGAATGATAGCAGATTCTTTGGGCAACCCTTTTGTGATGATGGCCAAATGTCTGTTTACTCAGATTCTCATTGATTGAAATATTAGAGAAAAGTCTTTCCTGCGTTCATGCTGGATTTGATTGCTTACGTGAAGAAGCCCCTACCAAACAGGCTGTAGAAGGTGCAGAGTGCTGCTCTCAGTTTAAATGAGATCTCTTCCTCCCTCCCTCTCGTCCCCAGGAGTTGCAGAGGCGCTTGTCCGAGGAGATTGGGCAATTGCGGGCGTTCATCACAGCTCAGAGCTCGCGCGATAGTGCTTCACACAACAGTGAGAGGAACACTTGTGAGCTAGAGGTGAGCAGGGACATTACTGCTCCCCTTTATTTTTATTTATTTGCTTGTGTTATTTATAGTCTGCCTCTCTCACAGGCACTCAAGGCGCATTAAACATAGTGAGCCCGTACAATCACAAAAATGGGACATTCACTAACCAGTGCATTAGGTTTTTAGAAGTCTGGCACCACCAGAAAGAACGGATGCATAGCATAAGTATTCACATGGCACATGAAGTGGTGCCGAAATTACATAAATAAACGAGACACAGCAGTATAGACCACAGTCCTTCATCATTTATCCAAGAAGGTTTGTGAAACCATTTTGTGCAGTGCAGCCCTATCATCTGCACAGAAAAGCCCTTTTGATTAGTTCAGTTTGGCATGGTTTGTGGAAGGCCAGGAGAGTGGGCGCTTTCTGGATCTTCTCAGGCAGCCCGTTCCACAGTGCGGGAGCCGCAACAGAAGTAGCGCTCGTGTGGGCAGTTGTTGATTCTGCCCATTTGCATGTTGGCACCGGCAGAAGCCCCTGCTGACTTGAGCAAAGTTTTAATGGTGGAGCAAAGGGAGAAAGGCGGTCCTGCAAATAGGAGGGGCCAAGGCCATGAAGGTGATAGCACCGTAAACTGAGTGTAGTAACAGACTGGCAACCAGTGAAGCATCTGCAGAATGGGAGTGTAATATGCATGACTCCAGCTAGCTCCTGTGAATAGCTGAGCTGCAGCATTCTGGACCAGTTGGAGCTTCCAAGTTGATTTTGAGGGGAGGCCCATGCAATGTTCCCTCTAAGCTGTGGAGTCTTGCGAGCCAAAATTCTACTTTGTGAGCCACTGGCATTAAAGTTGTGAGCGAGCGATGTGGCTGCTACATAAATCAGTTTGCTTTGGAGACCTCCTTCCTGAGCTAAGACAAAAATGTGTGAGCCGGAGGCTAAAAAACTATGAGCTAGCTCACACTAACTCAGCTTAGAGGGAACACTGGACCCATGTACAATGCATTACAGTAGTCTAGTCTTGATGTTACTATGGCATGGATCCCTTAATTAGCTAGGTATGCACTACATATACTTCAGAAGTAGCCACTTTTAAAGTAAAATAAACCTAATGCTGTTCCAAGGAAAAGTCTCTCTGCATGATGCGAGCTGGTTATAGATTTTCTTTTGGGGGGTAATTCTAGTGAAGAAGGGCAAGGAACTACAACTCATCCCAAGTGCTGGAAATCTAACTCAGCCAGCAAAATTCCTCAGCTTATCTTCACAGACATGACTGCAAAGTCTAAGCATAATACTTCTGGCCCTGATACAAACATTTGTCTCCACCCTCCGCCTGTACATGCAATCTCATGAGTCATGACAGGAGGATAAATGTGGCTTTGAGATGGTGCGAATGGATCAGTTTGTAGCAATGGGCATGCTTCCCAGGCTGGTGCCCTTGGGCCCAGTACCTGTTTCTCTTTCTATCCTTTGTTGGGGCCAAAATATGATACACTGTGTTTGGGTGAAAAGAGCTGAAATTCTCAAAATGCTGTACCCACATTTTATACTTAGTGTGTGTACAGACTTGTGGGTATGCAGAGCCCAGGTTATACTATGCCCCTTGTAAGCCACCCTGAGCCCGCTCACGGGGAGGGCGGGGTAAAAAAATGCCAAAATAAATAAAAAATTTAAAAAATTTAGATTGGACCATCAACACCCTCTGCTTTGTCAGCAGGTTTCTCTCTTTTTACAGTCAGTTGCCATTTTCCCCCTGTGTATTTTATTTAATCACTGACATCCTTCTGTTTTTAGAATTTTCTAGAAATAGCTAGGATATTGAGAACTAATGATTTCATTAGGTATATAGCCAGGTCTCCAAAACTTCTGTCTGGCATTTTGATATTCTTTGTTTTTAAAGCACAAGAATGTATCTTTAATGAATCTTTAGGATGTGAAATTCACTGCCTGGAAAAGGAGGACTTAAGTGTGATGCACAGTCTGAACTTGATTTGTCATGAGGATGCTGGAAAACATTGGTGTCAGGAAATTACTCTTCACTTAGCAAACAGGTATTCCTCCAATAAAAGCTTTTTCCCCAAGTTCATTCCAAAATTAGGGCATTTCCTTGTGGCTTCCACAGACTAAAATGAATGTGGGTCTAAATTTTAATTCTGGATTAAGCTAAAGAGCTTTTGCTGGGGGGAATTCCTGTGTGCTCTAAAAATGTTTCCCAATACCAGCTTCTAGCCATGTAATCCTACCGCCTGCATCTGCTAGGTTTGCACTGAATCCAGATTTGACTATTGGTGTCCTGCTACATATATGATTCTGTAGTGCCAACATAATTCACATTGAATTCAGAAGATGGCAGCAGATACACTCAAATGCCAGGCTTGGAATGGTGCTACTCCCCCCCCCCAACCCCGCACACAGTTGTAAGGTAGTTGTGTGAAGGGTTTGTTGAGTTTGTTTGCATTCCAGCCAGTCTGCAGGTTTTAACATATCGAAAACCACTTGACCCATTTATGAAAACTTGTGTATTCCAGCCTTCTGTGTCATACTGTAAGGCATTTCACAAATGTGTTGTGCAAGGTTCTTTGGCTCAGTACCAGGTAATCTAATTGTTGACATTTTTCCAAGATAGTGTAGAATACCTTTTATTCTACTCAAAATTTGCGGCCTTGGCAAACATGCAGACTCTTCCCTTCTCCTTCTGTTCTTTTCTGCAGGTGCTGCTCCGAGTGAAAGAGAATGAACTCCAGTACCTGAAAAAAGAGGTCCACTGTCTTAAGGATGAGCTTCAAATGATGCACAAGGTTAGACTCTGAGGACTAAATGAGCCTCACCCTTCCCTGTAGTCTTCCTTGCATAGAGAGCCAGTCTGCTGTAGAGCATCCTGACTTCTACTGAGTGTGCTATGGTCCCTGACTCCTCAACATTCACTGCTACTGGAGGTAGCGATGGCCATTGGGAGTGAATGGCTTTGGAATGGGGTTAGACAGATTCACGGAGAAGAGGTCCATTAATGTCTACTAGCCATGGTAAGAAAATGAACCTCTATATTCACAGGCACTAAGCCTCTGAAACTCAGTGCTAAGAGGAAACATCAGGTGAAGGCCTTGGCCTCTATAATCAGTTTATTAGTCCTATAGGGCAACTAGCTGGTCGCTATGCAAAACAAGATGCTGAACTAGATGGACCACTGGTCTGATCCAACAGGGCTCTTCTTGAGTTCATGTGTCCGATACTGTAGTCAGTAATTGTTCTGTTTCTCAGCTCAAAAGAAGGCTTTGCCTTGCCTTCCATTTTTTTCCAGCCCATCAGAGGTCAAGAGAATCTAAAGGCATTGACTATAGGGGAATAGAAAAAGGGGTTGGGGAGTTTTGGAATCATCAGGCTTATTGCTTCTGATGATCAACTAGCATTCCAGCTAGACTGTTGCAGCAGAACTGGGTAGAGGAGAGTACAGAAGATCTCTCACCCACCCCGCCGTGCTGTCTGCCCCTATTTTCCCATTCAGCTTCTGCAGTCCTCCTGCCTGTGTTGTGAGTGGGTTTGCACAGACTGTAGAAGACTCAAGCTAGCTGTCTGCGCTTTATTTCTTAAAATGCTTCTCTCTCACCTTCCTCCTGCCAAAGGGGACCCAAGGTACCTTACAATAACTCAGCAGCCATGACACTACAATAAAAACAGTAATAGAAAATCCTCACATCCAATAGGTCTTAGTCCTTTTCTCCTAGGCTGGAATATCCCCCCCCCCCAAAAAAAAAGAGTCCTAGGCCAGAGTGGGGGAAGGCAGGGCTGAGGAGCTTGTCTTCATGAGCCCAGGCCGGAAACAGGCTCTCCCCTGTAGTGGACGAAATGCCACTCACTCTCTGGTACTTTCTCCCCCCACCCGCACAGGATAAGAGGTTTGCCTCTGGGAAATACCAGGATGTTTATGTGGAGCTGAACTACATCAAGCGGCGGTCAGAGCGAGAGATTGAGCAGCTGAAGGAGCATCTGCGTCTGGCCATGGCAGCCCTACAAGAGAAGGAGACGCTGCACAACAGCATTGGCAAGTATAAGAGAAGAGGGCTGCTGTGCATTGCCTAAAGCCAAGCCGGCCAGGAGGCAGGAGAGGGAATGATCTGAGAGACTGCCGCCCTGGGGGCCGGGGTGCTTCAGGAGGAGAGAGCAGCCACATATGGAGCCTCTCTGCCTGCTGCTTGCCAGGGATCAAGGCTGACATTTCTATAAAACGACGTGAAGCCTTTGCTTCAGGCAGGAGGTTCCAAGGGGATGTCCTTTGCCTGGCAGCAGCATCTGTCTGCATTGGAATTTTTTTTTTAAGAAGGAGGTGAAATCCAGGCAAACTGAGTTTTTGTTCAGGGCCAGCCATTCTGTTTCCTTATGAATACTGGGCATGCATGTGATTGGGGGGGGGGCTTAGTGGTTCTGTGGCAAATACGCAGATAATAATAATAATAATATATTTTATTGTCATTGTACATAGTACAACGAAATTAAGGTGCAATTATTCGGTGATCTACAAGCATACTCATATACACTCACACAACCATACTCATATACACTCACACAACCATTAGGGTTCACATTGCAACTTAACCACCAATGTCACCCAAATTCCAATTCATACAGCATTTAAAGCAATAATAGATCTCGAATAAAAACTTTTTAAAAATCTGTTTGTCCTTGTTTTGATTGTCCTATATCTTCTACCCGAAGGCAGCAGTTCAAACAGGGAGTGTTCAGGGTGTGACAAATCCTGCAACCAGGGTGTGACAAATCCTGCAACCAGGGTGTGACAAATCCTACACCTGTCTGTAGGCATCCTGGCTACGTGCCCTTGTGACTGGCTGATTCCCATCTATTTATGTTACAGTAAACCTCCGTTTGGTTCTTTCTCATAGCCTCAGCCCAAAATATCCACCTGCTGTAGTGTACCTGTTTTTGCAACTAGGCAAAAGGAGCAAAGGTTGGGAAGCTCGTGCCACAGCTCTCTTGCCTGCATTGCTTGGCCCACTGCAGTGTTCAGTGTTAGTCTGGATTTTTATGTCAAGTCTAAACCAGCCTAGGGGTATGAGCAAGGCTAGAAAAACCCTCAAGGAATCTAGGTTTCTAAAGATCTAATGTTAGTATCTAGAAACTGGAATATTTCCCCCCCCCCTTCAGATTTCTGCCCTGTGTGCTCATTAAACCTTGAAATACCTTTCCAAGCCTGAGTTTCCATCTTTATTTCTCAATATATAGTTCTGGTTCTGAAACAGCGTATATATACACCCTTGCTTTAGAAGGCTTTGTGTATCATCTGCCGCCTCCCGAGCATCACATACCTCTGTGCTTTCCAGGTGTTAAGTGTATTTCTTGCTCTCCTTAGGTTAGCTGGCCTTGCACCCCTCACCTTGGAGGCTCGATGCCGTTCACCGTGTTCCCTTCCAGGAAGCTGGACCAAGACTCCCGTCAGTGAATACCCGTCACACGCACCTGCACAACTGAACGTGTTTGGGCTGGATCCTACTATTTGCACCTTCTTTGGGGATTTTATATGTGAAAATATATTTTATATCGTTTTGGGGGAGGGTGTTGCATTTTAAAAAATCTGTACTGTGTTTTTAACTAGCAGTTGACCAGAGAAGTGAGCCAGATCCTTTGCCGCCTTGCAGTCATAACTGATCCCACTTGCAGTTTTCTCCAGACAACTCCACCCCACCCCAGTGGATCGCGTTGATCCGAGGGGGATCATGTTTTGAGAGGCACTGTGCTGGAGGAAGATTGTACTGATGGCTTTCTCTGAAGCACCCGCTTTGTCTGGAGACCAGGAGACTGTACAGAGTTTTGTGTTGCATTGGGTTCTCCTTTTTGTTGCTGTTAAAATTTTCGGGACTGGCTATTTATATTAATGTACTAGAAACACGGGCAGATTTTCTATGCCAGTGAGACTTCTGTGCATCCCACTACAAAGCCAACTCCCCCCCCCAATTGCATTCCAGAAGTGCATCTTCTAGCTGTGTTACTCCTTGGGTGGGGCGGGAGGGGACTTCACTGCTGATGTCGCCAGAGCCAAACAATGAAGGCGGCCGCTTCTCTCTGCACAGTTACTATTGTATAACTTAATAAAAACCTTCAGCTATTCAAAAGCGATGTTGCTGTTTGTTGGGGGGGGGGGCACAGAAGTAGCCATGATTTATTTTTTTTTAAGAGAACTCTATAATAATAAATGTTGGACTTCACTGTTGTGGGGTCTGCCACCGTTTCATAGCGGACATGATAAGGCCCTCTGTTACCGACTGACTTTTTACAGCTGTGTTGTAGAATGGGGTCTGCAGCTTGCCTAAAGCCTCAAATGAGTGGGTGACTGCCAAGTTTGAACTGGGACATCGGGGCTCACTGCCTCTGCATTACGCTAGTCCTCAGTGGGCACTAGTCCTTCACAGTTGCTTAGTGGTGATGAGTATAAGCTTGGATAGTGGGGATGGGGCAAACTTGTTGGTGCTCAGTTAGCCGCCCGGTGTAACTTGTGCTCCCTGGTGGAGGTGGCTGTTGAAAATCCTCTCCCAGTCTAGTCTGGATCAAAAATGCAAAGGAGAAACTAAACTTCTACTGTTCCCATTAGAATTCACTGCATAGCTTTAACTTTAATTCCTGCAATGCTTGCTTTCTATTAGAAGGATTTTAGGCTGGGTTTGGTCCACTTAGATGTAAAAAATGTCCCATATTTGTACTTTTCCGCAGTTAATTTGGGGTAATTAGGGCCAAAACATATATACTAAATTACATCCTTTAAACTAGTGTGTAAACATGGGAGAGTTATAAATGCATGGAGGGGTAAAAGGGCTGGGTTTAGACTAGTGTGACACAGGCTGAAACCGTCACCTGGCCTCTTAAGTTAATAGATGGTCATGATCCGCCGTTTACTCTCTGACTAGCCCACCTCCCACAGACACAATATAACAATAAAAATATCTTTCCTCTATGGAGTAAACTTAAATGGTTCACATCTGTGGAACATAATATTTGAATCTGCATGCATCTGTTTGGATAAGGAGTTATGTAAGGCAGTACAAAGCCCTACATAGTCTGCATCAGATGTAGGAGCCTGCCTTTAGTCATAAGGGCTGGTAACTTGTCTTTGTATTAAAAGAAAGCTGGGGATACCGACATGCTGAACATTGTGCCTGATCCTGAATCCTGTTTTTCCCTGAATATTTTTCCCTGAATAATTGTGCAGTCAGAGAATACCCAAACCAGTTCTCAGTGGCCAGCAGGATGAGCTTTCATCTGCTGCACAAACTGGTAGCCCTGTATCTACAGTCTCTATATGGAAGGGAAACAAAGCAGAGAATGCTGCGCTCTCTCCTCAGCACCACTTTATATGAGCACAGTGCCTAGGAATATCCAAGACAGCTTCCATGGCAGAGCATGGGAATAGAACCTTTGTCTCCCAGATTATAGTCAACACTCTACACCAGGGGTCCCCCGACCTTTTCCAGCCTGCAGGCATCTTTGGAATTCTGAGACAGTGTGATGGGCCACAGCCACAGAATGGCTGCCACAGGAGGCAAAGCCAGCCAAAAAATAGCTGCCACAGGTTATTTTCACTCACACAGTGAAGATTTTGTGCTGTGGTGGCAGTTGCTGCCAAAGCAATGTTTTTAAGAATCTGCCAATCAAATTTCCAACGATCAATGAGATGTTTTGCTGGGCAGAAGCCCCACCTGACTCTGCCTGCTTTCTAAAACACTTGGCAGGCCCCAGGAAAGGTGCTGATGAGCGTTCTTTGAGTGGGTTAACAAACAGGTGGGTAACAGTGATCCATAGACATCATATACTTGGGCTTGCAAAAGCCATTTGGTGTTGCATGTTTGCAGAATTTTCCTATTACCTTTTTTTTTTAGTGTTCCCTATCACAAGGGACCAAGGCCTGTGTGTGTCCAGCTTGTAGGTGTAGCAAAACATGCGTAGGTGGGGCCAGCATGCTCAGTTAGAAACAGAGAGAGGCACCAGCGCCTGTGCACCACATCTATATGCATTGTCCCTGTCTAATGCATTGTCCCCCAATCCTACAGCGGGGCAATACAATACAATGAAAGAATCATCAGGCTTGCAAGATAACAAATGTGATGTGCTTTAATGAATGTTGATGATTTCATTAATCCATGTGGAAGGTGGAATAGTCCTTTATATTTAATTGAATTTATTAACCGCCCTCCCCAGTAGGACCAGGCTCAGGGCAGTGTACAACACAATCAGATGACACATTGCATAAAACAATTCAAGATCAGGCTAAAACAGTACAACATAACCAATCTGATCAATCCAGCAAACTAATAACCTATAAAAAGGTAAAGGTTCCCTTTCTCAAAAGCTAGTCGAGTCCGACTCTAGGGTTGCGGTGCTCATCTCCGTTTCAAAGCCGAAGAGCCAGCGCTGTCCGAAGACGTTTCCATGGTCATGTGGCCGGCATGACTAAACACCAAGGTGCACGGAACGCTGTTACCTTCCCACCAAAGTGGTACCTATTTATCTACTTGCAATTTCTTGCTTTCGAACTGCTGGGTTGGCAGGAGCTGGAACTAGAGACGGGAGCTCACTCTGTCATGCGACACACCCGGGTCTCGAACTGCTGAACTACCAACCTTCCACACCCTGCAGTTCAGCGTCTTAACCACTTGAGCCACTGCAGCTCCATAATAATAAGCTATAGATGGTGCTAAAATCCTAACAGTGCCGCTGTCTCATGGGGAAGGGGCAGGGGGGAGGAGGATGGGAGTGCCAAGACGGGACCGTTGCTGTCTTCAGCCAAACGCCTGGCAGAAATCTCTACCTTGCATGCCCTGCAGAATTGCAGTATATCCCACAGGGTGCAGATGTTACTCAGCAGAAGGTTCTACCAGGTTGGAGCCCTGGCTGAGGACACCTGGAAGTCTCACAGGCTGGGGACCACCAATAAATTCTGATCTCCTGAGTGTAACCTGAGGGTATACCAGGAGAGATGATCCCGAAGATACATAGGTCCCTGGCCGTTACAGGCCTTAAAGCTCGACACCAGAACCTTGAATCCGATCTGGTACTCCACTGAAAGCCAATGCAGCTCACACAGCACCGGCTGGATGTGTGCTGAGTGCGGTGTTCCTGTAAGGACCTGGGCTTCTGCATTTTGTACCAGTTGGAGTTTCCAGATCAGCCTCAAGGGTAGGCCCATGTAGAGCAAGTTACAGTAACCAATCTGGAGGTAACTGTTGCATGGATTACATTGGCTAGATCAGGCAAGACACGGGGCTAGTTGCCTAGCCTGGCACAAATGAAAGAACGCCAGTCTGGCAAAATTTGTGACCTGCGTCTCCATTGTTAAGGAGGCGTCCAGGGTCACACGCTGACTCTTGATGGCAGGTGCCGGTCTCAGAGGCATGCCATCAATGGCTGGGAATTGACACCCCACATCTGAATCTCCCCAACCCAGCCATAGAACCTCTGTTTTAGAAGGATTCAATCTCAGCCAACTACATCTAATTTGTAATTTATCCTAGGGGTCCCCAACATGGTGCCATGGTGCCCACCAAGTGCTTGTAGCAGGGCTAGGTGGGGCTTTTGCCCAGCAGGGCTTCTGATTGGCTGTGCAGATTAAAAGGCATCCTGTTAAACAGCGCTTCTACCCAACCTGAAGAATTACTGTTAGAGTGACCTCAATCACTTACATGGTTTGGTTAGTTCCACCTTCTGCAGCAGCCATCTTTTTTATTATTATTATTATTTGAACCAAAGATAGTGGTAACAAAATCCAACAATATACAAAAAAAAGAGCAAAAAGGCAATAGAAAACTGGGTAATACAAAGGAACACTTAAAACTATCAGGATTAATCATACACATAACTATCAATTCACAAGTGCAACAGATCAATAGGATAAGTATCTATCGACACCATATAGCTTAACATCGGAAGCCAAACTGCTGGGAAACATAGAATCTCCATATTTTATCAGACCCTAGAGAGATCAAAGGGGGCTTTTTGTCCTTCCGTCTTGTAGCTATTGCAGCTCTAGCAGCTGCTAATAAAAACTCTGTTTAAAAGGTTTGGTTGACCAAGGTAATCTGCATCCAGACCATAGTGATAACAGTAGAAGTTCTGGTTGCATCAGTAGGGAGACCCCAGTGACATTAGAAATATGACATTAGAAATATGATCTAAAACAGATTTCCAGAATTGTTCAATAAATTGGCAGGCCCACCAACAATGAAAAAAGGAAGCAGATGCATCACAATGCTTTCAACATAAGTCGGGTTAATATAGTGTAACTTTTTAGGTGACAAGTTGCTTCTTGCAAGAATTTTAAAAGACGGCATTCTGATGTTAATAGACCTTGTTTTGAGGGCTGAGGAGTTCCATATGCTCCTGCAGCAGCCATCTTTGTGATTATACCCACCAGCACCAAGAGTGCAGTGCATCACTTGTCCCAGGTGTCATCAGGAGGTCCCTCAGCAGGCCCGTAGCAACAGTGGGAGGGCTTCTAATGATGGCATCTGGTATTTTTGGCCACTGTGTGACAGAGTGTTAGATTGGATGGGCCATTGGCCTGATCCAACATTGGCTTCCCTTATGTTATGTACCTGTGTCAGAATTACAAAGGTGCTCAAAGGTTCAAAAAGGTTGGGGACCCCATTCCATTCTGAATGTTGAGTCGAGTGGGGACAGGGGGTTGCACTGGGCTTTCTTCCTCTCGTATCTTTTTAAACTGTAGCTACTTCAAATGTTGATTGCTGTACTGTATGCCTACAAGGTGGCTGAAAGTCCTGAACATACAAATGGATGAGATGTGGTTACATGGTGATACAATCTATAGGGAAGAGTACAAATCTTTGAGGCATCATTTGATTTTTATTATTGCACCTAATAGTAAAGTGGGTGGCTATTTTAAAACAGCTTTACCATGACAGTCCCTGGCCCAAGGCATGGGTATCTAAAACCTGGGATATTCACCTTTGCAAAAAATAAAGACTTCACAAATTAACAAGAAGAGGAGAGAGATGGGGGGGGCGGAACTTGATTAAGACTGAGAATGCTAGAAGAAATATATCATGCTGAGGGCAAGCGAGAGATACTTAAGAAAAACAGGGACAAAGGG